TTTACAAATTGCCGCCATACAGTCAAAATATGCGGCGTTCAACAAAAACAAACAAATATTAACCAGTTTAAAATAGCACATGATAAATTTGCTTTAACATCACTGTGTACTAAATGAAAAACTGCATTATTTACCCATTAGTCCAAGGAATTTCACACCTCATTTTGCTTTTCAAATGATGCATCAGATATTTATTTATTTATTTATTTATTTATTTATTTATATTTATTTATTTATTTATTTATTTATTTATTTATTCATTCATTCATTCATTCATTCATTTATTTATTCATTCATTTATTTATTTATTTATTTATTTATTTATTTATTTATTGTTTGTTTGTTTATTTCATTTGGTAAAATGGAAATTTCTTTGTACATTTTTAAACCCCGACAGTTTATTTTTTTATTTATTTATTTATTTGTTTATTTATTTGTTTATTTCATTTGGTAAAATGGAAATTTCTTTGTGCATTTTTAACCCCAACAGTTTGAACATTTTTGTAAACTGAAATCACCAATATCACCAAATGTGGTAGTTATCTGAAGTCACACCAACTGAGCGAAGTATCGTACAATCGTCAATTGTATACCGGATGTTGGTGAATCCAACATCCGGACATGCGTCTTCGTGTCAAGTGATTTTATTATAGTTTTATACAACATAGCTCACCACCTAATTTTCACATGTGTACCCATTAATTCTTTAGCTCTATTTGACTTTGAATTGTTTGTATTTGGGGACCCGAGTTGGCTTGCACTTGTTTTCGGAGTACAGGCAATAAACTTATTTGAGCTCAGTTGTGTTGTGACGTTTGTTTAAAAGAAACTTGCTTTAGGCGGTTTCATGCAGACATATGCAATATCCTTCTGTATTGGTCTGAATGTATTGCAATGTATTCTATTGCATTATATATTTCCATGCATGTACATGTAAATGGTACCCTTACAAATATCTAGTACCAATATAAACTGAACCCAATGTATAAGTTAGTTTTACACGCATTTCTTATTGAGAATGAAAAAAAATGAATAGGTATTATGTTATATAATTGAGTCTGGACCAGACAATCCAGTGATCAACATCGTGAGCGTCGATCTACGCAACTGTTATACGATGAAATGTGTCAACCAAGTCTTCACCGTTACAATCTTTAACGTTGTTGTGCACTTTGCAGCTGGGATACGATAACATGTGTCATCCAAGTCAGCGAGCCTGACCACCCGATCCCGTTAGTCGCCTCTTACGACAAGCATGGGATGCTGAAGACCAGTTCTAACCCGTATCTTCACGGGGACAATCTTTAACGTCTGTTGCACACTTTTTAAACTTGTCCGAGGATGTCCACCATGCACGCTCAGTGGCTGAGGTAATGACATGTTTGTACAGCAGCCTTTGTCTTCTCAAAGTATTATGCGGAATTATTTATGAGAAAATCAATATTGAGACAATGTGTTTGTTAAAGTATATGAACCAAGGGGAATAACCCATGTTTCGTAAAGTGAAGGAAGCGGTCGTAATATATTGGTAGTTTCGTCAATGATCAACAGTATTGTTCTTGAAGACAAAGCAGTTTTTTCAAGTTACTGTACTTTCAGTGTGAACCCGAAAAGATCCCGGTTGGAATTAGAATCAACAACCTATGCTCGTCGTTAGAGGCGACTAACGGGGTCAGGATCCCTCACAGGTTGGCTAAAGCACCACCATTTAAGTACAGAGTTGCGTTCATTGGCAAACAGAGGCCTTTGATTGTGGGTTCCGTATCACTTTGGGCTTTCTTTTACTTTTTAACACTCTGATGTTTTAGAACAGCATCACTACGATGTTTTCCATCACCAATAACAGGAAATTCGGTACCATCGATATTCTTACGTCAACAACAGGCTGTTTTGCATCAGCGGACGTTAGATTGGTTGGTTTATAATTATAAACAGTGAAGAGTTCCGTTTTATAGCAATACCAGGATCCGCTGATTTTAGGTTTAGATCCCATATTCTTTCTGATTCTTCAGTGAGTGAGTAAGTGAGTTTAGCGTTACACCGCACTCGGCAATATTCCAGCTATATGGCGGCGATCTGTAAATAATCGAGTCTGGACCAGACAATCTAGTGATCAACAGCCTGAGCATCGATCTACGCAGTTGGGATGCGATGACATGTGTCAGCCAAGTAAGCAAGCCTGACCACCCGATCCCGTTAGTCGCCTCTTAGCATGGATATTTGAAGACCAGTTCTAACCTGGATCGACCGCCTCCGTGGAGTAGTTGCGTCCACTCGGAGAGCGGAAGGTCGCGGGTTCGATCCCCGGCTGCGTCATACCAAAAGACGTTAAAATATGGTACTTGTTGGTCCCTGTCTGGTGCTCGGCATTAATGGGTACAAGAAGGACTGGTCGGTATAATGTGTCTGAGTGGGGTATTCTAGCTTAACTGCGGCATGGTATCTCAGTGAGCTAGCGCTATAAAACCAGCTTAAGTCTGGGCTAAAGTACTGTTGGAAATGCTAGAAAAATGCTTTTTAGCCTTTATATCTTTAGAAAGGGGATAAATGTACTATATTGTCAATATATCAACTCACATATAGTGTACCTAATTTTTATTTCAATTGATTTAACATTCCCATGCATTTAAAGGGCAGTTTACAGGAGAGAATTTGGTACCAACACAACAACTTAAGATTATTTCAGAGTTCAACAACAGAAATCTGAAATAGTCTTTACATTTATGCTAATAATACAGGTGGTGTAAAAATATGAATTAACATTTTTCTTAAACAAATAAATGTTGAATGTTTGTGTTACTTTACTTAATTATCGTTTCTTTATTGAAGAAATATTAATATAAATGTTAAGGCTTGATAAATAAGTTTCCCGTCATGCATGCACATCTTTATCACAGCGTCCACTATGGTCAACTATTTGCAGACGATTGTTGCAAAGGTTTATCAGTTTTTTTGTGCTTGAAAAGACAGACGTAAACCTTTCATTACTTTAGAAAGGGTTTATTAAAGAACTTGTAGATCTGTTGGTATGTCTTACCAACAAGTTTACAATACTGTAAACAAATCAGACAAGACAGTGACCGTCTCAAAAGCAAAACAGGGATGTAAAACCATCCTTGACAACTTTGACAAGGAAGTACTTAGACACCTAGGACTTCGTGAAATATTTGGCCAATGTTCACAACTAGATTAAACTGACCGAATTACATCCATATTTTTGCAATGAAATATACTGTTGACATGCAAAACATTTATTAAAACGTTGCACATTTCTACAATCAATGGATAAGATAACACAAGTGACAGGATTCTTTCCAGTGTACATCAATTCGTATGTTTATTTCAAACAAACACACATACACAAATGATCCCTTACATAACCAATACGTATACAATACGTACACATATTCAACATTTTGAAGAAAACATCTATTGAGATGACCCCTCGCCCGAGCGTGTGTGCTCAGGTGTCAATTCACCTGTCGATACCGTGCATGCTGATGACGTAACACAGGCAGTTAATGTTTGTATCAAATAACGTCCACCTACCCCTTATTTTGCTAAGTTTTTGGTAATTTCATCAGTAAAAACACATTTTAGGGCATGTCTCAAAATTTATTTCCTCGGACCACATTAGGTTGATGTTTCTTAAAGTGATATTTGTTATTTAAGTAACTGTAATACCTCTGAATTTTAAATATAAGTCAAAAAACATTATTCTAGCATTTCCGACAGTACTTTCGTACAAGCAGCCACACATACACACGCATGCACGTCGTCATATGAGCGAAATGTTCGACGTTAAACCCCATTTCACCTCACCTCTAACCCGGATCTTCACGGGTTCATCACACTTCGATATTTTCTAACACCCACGCTTGATGTTTTGTTCGCCAACACCTGCATGTTAAACAACTGTTACCAACACTCTAAGGTTTTGTATCACCCCAACACTCGGAGGTTTCAATCACCAACACCTGCATGTTAAACAACTATTGCCAACACTCTAAAGTTTTGTATCACCCCCAACTGAGGTTTCGATCACCAACACCCGCATGTTAAACAACTGTTACCAACACTCTAAAGTTTTGTATCACCCCAACTGAGGTTTCGATCACCAACACCTGCATGTTAAACAACTGTTACCAACACTCTAAAGTTTTGTATCACCCCAACTGAGGTTTCGATCACCAACACCCGCATGTTAAACAACTGTTACCAACACTCTAAAGTTTTGTATCACCCCCAACTGAGGTTTCGATCACCAACACCTGCATGTTAAACAACTGTTACCAACACTCTAAAGTTTTGTATCACCCCCAACTGAGGTTTCGATCACCAACACCTGCATGTTAAACAACTGTTACCAACACTCTAAAGTTTTGTATCACACCCAACTGAGGTTTTGTTCGCCAACACCCGCATGTTAAACAACTGTTACCAACACTCTGAAAGTTTTGTATCACCCCCAACTGAGGTTTTGTTCACCAACACCCGCATGTTAAACAACTATTACCAACACTCTGAAATTTTGTATCACCCCAACTGAGGTTTTGTTCGCCAACACCCGCATGTTAAACAATTGGTACGAACATTCTGAAGTTTTGTATCACTTGTATTACTTCACGGGTTCAACACTTCGATGTTTTGTTCGCTAACACCCGCATGTTCCCACACCTGGGGTTCTGTACCACCAACATATTGATACAGCCGTTATTCTTAATCATACATACACATGTTGTCACCATGGATACTGACGTATGCGCATAGATACGAACCACCTGCGTTCTCAGACCTATTGGTCAGAGAGCACGCCTTGCTGTATAAATACGCTTCATATTTGACCAAACCTAACTAAATTACAGAGGTCATCCAAACAGTCACCTCGCAACAAGGTAAACATTATCACAGCAACGAAAGAATTCAAATATCGTTAGATTATTTAGTTGTGCATGTTTAATCGCACAGTAATATTTCAGTGCGTCTACCCTTACGGTAAATATCACCGCCTACCAGTCTTTGCTTCTTTGCATATGCCTTTAGTGAACCAAGGGCCTATATCGGGAATAGATTTCTTAAAATGATCAGACCGATGTAATCGATGGCACAGGTTACAGAGTGCCTCTGATTCATGATAATGTTCGATGAAAACACCACCACGAGCATCGATATATCGATATTCTTCTGCCTCATAATAGTATTGGTCTTTCTTTCTGAGTATATCTGTGTATTTGTCCGTGTCGTTGTTTAGGTGCAGAAGATGCTCTGCTAACTGCTTAGGGGATTTGAAATCATCAGCGTTGATGTAGGTGCCGGGAGGGGCGTCCCGACCGTAGTTACCTCCCCCTCGAACAACAGTTACAAGGTCAAGGTTGAAGTTGTTGAAGAACTTCTCGCTGATGTAATCCAGACAGTGTAAGTTCTCAAAGCCCAGATAAAACTTGTATGTAATATTGAGGTGTTGCATCCATTTATCATTATCTCCTCTCGGAAAAGACCTCTTACCACATGATCCAAATATATCGACATCTATGTGTTTCTTCAGTTCCCGGGCATACGCCAGCCTCCCGCTCCAGTCGTCGCAGTTGCTGACCATCCACGCCACCAGACCAGTCTTTTTCTGGACAATTTCCGTGTAATTTCTCTGCACTATTTGTCCTCTTTGTCTGAGAACAGCATAAGGTCTATAAATATCTGAATTTCTTCTGAAGTCCATCGTCCAGTTGAATGCCGATGACCAGGGTTGTTTCAAGAAGGGTCTGCCATGGGCAAAAAGGTACGGTGGTTCATTATTGTGGAAGATCCACACTTGCCCCGGCTGCCTACGTGGCGGAAGGCCCCGAATATGTTCAGCTGAAAAAATGACAGCTTTACTTTGATTTAAGAGAGCATGATCTCTTGTCATCAAACATTCTGCTTCTGGGCAGGCTTGGATACGGCCTCCATCTTTCAAGGGATTCGGTAAATATCTTGGTGAGAAGTACCACAGAATGAGTTTCTTCGCAGTATTGTTAATTGGCGTTGCGTAGTGGTTGCTGCCTGTCGAATTGGGATATCCATAGGTTCTGGTGGTTCCTGCAGGTGACGAATATTTGCTTTGTGTAATGGAAGCTAGGAGCTTCGGTCCTCTATACGTGAAGTGATTGTTTTTGATAAAGATCAGTGTTGACAAAAGGCCGAACAGGGCCATTCCTCCAACACACAGAATCCAAGGCCTGAAATAAAGAAAGAGTTATCTTAGTTTGTGTTAGTGGATTAACAATAATTAAAGGGACACTGATCTAGAGCAATTCCTCGGGACTGGTTGTTCCATGTGTTATTGTTTTGCCCCCACAACTACCCGGATGATATCCCAAAATTCTTGACTGGGTTACGATCTCAGAAATTGAAAAATTGAAATATCAAAATTAAAACCGGCTAAATCTATAGCAAAAATATCAGGGTATTACCTTGTTTGAGGAATGTATCCATCCATATACATAAAGGAATGATAAGACATTCATGTGCAGCTGACAAAGAAACCTGTTCCATGCCATGTGTTGTTTTTTATAAGATTCAATCTAATATGGAAAAATTGTATATACCGTTATAATGATGTATATAGGTTTTCAACTGGTCACGTGACTTTGTTTCAGGTTTTCACATTGGTGTATAGTCTCATTGGTCCGCCATGATAGCACACCTGACAGCTATTTACATAATGTCCACCAGTCTTAAGCAAATAATTAAGTTAGACAACAATAATCAATCAACGTATTGTCGTGTAATCCTGTGAAGGAAAGGCGTTGTTTCACACAGAATGTTGGTGTATTCAGTATACGCTAATAATTCAACATGTTATCGGTTAATCCTTTGCTCGATGTTTGTTTATTTAATTCATCTGATAATTCCTCTTGCTGCACTTCCATGCGCATATTATTTAAGATGTAATACATTTGCCACATCAGAACTTAATTTATAATGCTGATGATTTACTCCAGACAGGAGAAATGCTAAATTAGAACCTTTGTCGGTTAATCTTAGAGGTGTTACAACTTATTATACCTGCAATAAATTCATTTATTGCCTAAAACAACGTAGAGGGAGACTCTGTTTTGAAGATATGAACGGAACTTCATTGTTGCATTTAAAATACATATGAACATTTGCTGTGTACTAAAGTTTAAAACTGTATATACCTATTTACGTATATAGGTTTTCAGATTATTTTCTAGCAATGGCAAAGTAGGGTTGAATGCTTTGCACTGCTGGGATACTTATGACAACCAGGGCCTAGATTTTCGAAGCTCTCTTAGTGCTAAGATAGTCCTAAGTTAATGTTAATGCATGGCACTTACGACCATCTTAGCGCTGAGAGAGCTTCAGAAATCTAGGCCCAGACTAGGACTATAGGGGATAATTTCAAATAACGGCATCTGATGGGCATCTTATTGTCTCATTGGTTAGGTTGAAGACATTCTGCCAAGGTGGACAGCTGCCCAGTCCCCGAATCCGTCACAGGGAGCAGTAACTGGCCGTGTGGCAGCAAGACGACGTAATTCGATTGAAACATGAATCGCTCTGAATCAGTGCCCCTTTAAGTCAGAGACCAAGTTATATAAAAGACATGGACTTGTGAATTGTGAAAAGTGTTGACAAGATTTTGTCGGATCAAATTAGCTCTTTCTACAGAATTTGGACAGATTCTTAACAATTACATTCATTAGAATGCTTGTCGTAAGGGGCAACTAAAGGGATCGGGTTAGGCTCGCTGTCTTGGGGACACATCGAACCTCATTTGCCAATCACGGTATGATCTGGTTCAGACTCGAGTATTTACTGACCGCCTCCATATAGGTGCATACTGCTGAGTGGGACTTTAGTAGCCTTTTACGACACGCATGGATTGTAGTAACTGAAGACCAATTCTAAAACAGATCTTCACTGGTCTATTGTATAAAAGTGTGTTGAATGGTTGTTGCTGAATCATCATTAATGTTTGCTCTGCGTTCTTTACAAGGTAATGAATAATGCAAAATAACTAAAACATTAAAAATAAACACTTTTAGGACAGGGTCAAAAGGACAATCATGTACGAACTAATCCTTGTATGGAGTTAGATTAACAATACCAGTATTTACTTTTACAGAAGTATTGGTTTCATTTTCGAAATATATCGAAAGTATTTTCGAATTTTTAATTTCCTTCATAATGACAATGATTAGTTTTCTGATAAAACAATATATGGCTACTGGTGTATGTAATTGATTCACATATTATGTTGAAAGGCATTTTAGACCCGTGAAGGTTAGAATTGGTCTTGAGCAACCACTACTTGTAAGAAGCCACTAACGGGTTCGCTTAGTCAGGCTCGCTGAATTGATTGACACATGTTATCGTACCTCATTTGCGTAGGTCGTTGTTCATGATGTAAAACACTGTATTGTCTGGTCCAGACTTGATTATTTACTGACCGCTGCTATATAGTTGGAATATTGCTGAGTGCGACGTTCAACAAACGAACGAATGAAGGACTGTTTTTTTTAAAGTAAAACATATTCACACTGGCATTCCACGATATAATCAGTCACCTGCCCTTTCCAGTTGGTCAGGCTTGGATACCATCAACCCAGGCGGTGCCAGACTCTCATAGAATAAGTCGATGAAACCAAACCTGTATTCGTTTCCTTAATACATAATACCATCAGAATAGATTCTCAAATTTCGGTGTAAGAGAACTCGTTTCTCAGAGCATCTGAAGTTTTCGTTCAATTACCATTTTTGTGTACCAATTCGACAGTGTTCACTCCAGAGGCAAAACATGGTCTAATCGATTGAGCCTTTTCTTCTGAATCTGTGTCCTATCTACACCTTCATCAGGCCGAAGACCCTGAAAGGACATACGCTGGTCGTCATTAAGGAATCAACTTATGAAATTGAAAACGAAAATTAGAAACCTAGTTCTCTGTGAATGTTAGTAACCGCAGTTAATAACTCGGTATAATATTCTGTTTCAAAGTTATTAGGGCAACCGGATTGAACATTAAGATTGTAATATTAACTGCAGTTACCATGGTATAATAAACACATCACTAAACTTTTACAGAGATAAAACACAGTAGAAAAATCCAGTATTATGTACAGAGAAAACATTTTAGGAAAGAGTATAAAGCTACTACGAAGGTAATCTACATTATCTGGAGAAAGTAGAGTCGTCAACACAACAGCTGATGATTGCAACGAGGAAGTATTTAAGGAAACGCTATATAGGTACGGTAAATAGATTGTATGAGGATAAGAATGCACATTTAATAATCCCAGTTATAACATATGGTGCGTATAGATTGCTATGTAGGATACGCAATGGGTTATTGTGGCAAAGAAGCATTTAGAAAACACTGCTGAAAACTCTGTTGGCAACAAAATATAGAATGATTGTACAGAGAAAGCAATCTATGAACCGTTATGCAGGTACAGCGAAACCAACTGTACATATCTGGAGATAGCCCTGTAAGATTTATAGGAAACACTGTATTGCGGCAGTGGAAGTCACTGGACTGATCTGGAAAAGCACTGAAGACACCACAACAGTATCATGTTTTAAATAAAGAATGTTTTCAAACAATGTATAGAAGTAGCGACGGTAAGTGTACAGATCAGAAGAGTGAGTGAGTGAGTTAATATTTAACGTCACATCGGCAATATTTCAGCCATATCGTGACGAGAACATTTGATATTGAAATGAAATATATGTATATTATAAAAAAACCTGCCGACGAAGGACAGTAAAACAACTAGAATATCACAGATATGTATGTAAAACTAGTTATTAAATCTAAAACGTTTTAACTATAGGGGAAAAACAATACAGAATAAAAATGGGCTATAAATCGCCAATAACTGAAGGTAGATCACCATACCAGGGACCATGGGGACTTACATTACTTTTGCTACCTGCATGGACCCTAGTCTGATACAGATCAGAAGAATGCACCTTAGGCAACATGAGTGTATACAAAGCATTTTATAAAACTCCATATGGGTCTAACGAAAGTAAATGTACAGATCAAAAGAAAGGCGAACGGGCAACATAATGGAGTACTAGTATTTATTAACGAAGAAACGTTAGAACTATATAGGACTAGCGAAGGTAACTACACAAATCTGACGACATCACTGTAGGTAACACATTAGGCTTGGATTGTATTGAGATAACGTTGTAGAAAAGACTATGTAGCTCTGGCTGTTTGTACAGATCTGAAGCAATGACTGCGGACAGCACAGCAGAGATATACTAGGAGACACAACAGAGTGAGCAAGTTGAGTGAAATCATTCTGAAAACATTACATACAAAAATTACCAAGAAACATAATAATTTAACGAGACAGGGACATAAGTTCAAACTGCGCGTACCATAAAATGCAGTTACATAATATATAATATAAACTGACGTTCAAAAGAAACTACACACCCGATTCTTTGGTAAAATATTTTCTTGAAAACAGCATTAATATTTAAAAGGAGTTTTGAATCTACCTTGTCACAAACATTGCGCAAGTGTTTCCAAAACACCACAGATATTGTACCCAATTACAACATTGCTAGCAAAATATTTATGGTTTTAATGGGAATAGTCCCAAAACACCAGGTGTGTACTTTCTTATGTACGTCAGTATATAACTGTATTTAGCAATATATGGTTGGTACTTTTCATGGAACATTACGTACAGTGCTTTAGTTACGTACAGTGCTTTAGTTACGTACAGTGCTTTAGTTACGTACAGTGCATTAGTTACGTACAGTGCTTTAGTCTGTAAACGAGTTGTCACTGTGAGGCGGCTTACGGTCAATACCACGTGAGACCCGGCCACACAATATTTATCTAGTCTTGATCAGGTTACCTGCTGGTATGTTCGATATATCATATTTTTATGATATGATATGGGAGTGATGATCAGGGTTTGGACGTTGGGGCTGTAGTTTCCGTGTCAGTCAAGTCAAGTCAAAAGAGTTTATTGTATTTAAGGCCTCCGGCCCACATACAAATATACATTTGCAAATAATATACAGTATACCATATATAATAGTGGAGAGAACAAGATGACAAGCTATTGTGAAATTTCGTTCTTGCGTTTTAAACTGTTTAACAGTACATTTCTTAGTCTCATACTATGTTTGATAAATAATGACAGATTAAGAATAACATTATC